TAAGAAACCTTTAAAACCACTGCGACTAGCCTCAGAATGATCAGTAAGTCGCCCAGTATGCAAGAGGGACAGTCATGTCTCAGAGCATCCTTCATGTTCGATCCTTTCCTCTGCTACCACAGGGAGGATGAGGTGAGAAATACGACTCCAGAGTCCACCATACTTGTCAAGGTCCATCCTGTCATAAGATACAGGATGCTCATCAGAGAGGAACTTCTTCTGAAGATGGTCGTCCACCATCTCCTCCACAATACTCAAATGACTGTTGGCGGGAATCTCCTCTTCTTCTCCCAGCAGTACTGTGAACATCAGACAAGTCTTCTTGTAGGCAGCGTTCTCGTGGTCGCAGTAGCGATAAAAATCAGGGTGGAACCTGGAGGCAGCTCCTCGAAGCGGTGAATGACAGCCACGGGTTTGTCTCCTTCGAAAGCTCCCTGCAAGTTGTTGTCGATGTCCAGTTTGACCTGGTCGCTGTCCTGGCGGGCTTTGCTGGCTCCATCGATTTGGAGGACGGAGGCGCTGAGGGCAGAAGAGAAGGCGGAGGCCAGGCCCTGAGCCAGGCACTGCAGTGTCTTCTCGCTCTGAGGCCCGCAGTCAGGATCAGACTGACTGGCTCTGTGGGCTGCGCTGCCGGAGATGCTTCAGCAGGTGGATCTTGCTCCTATTCCAGAGCTCAGCGCGCTGGTTAGGGAACTGAGCCTTCACCTTTTCCATCTGCTCGAGGAAGATGTCTATTTTCCGCGTATCGTTTTTCTGAGGTGGAGATTCAGGTTGGCGAAGATGCTGCACCAGGATGGCAAGAACTAACACTATACATATACCCAGGTATGTTATATTTCCTGTGTAGAGAAGGAACATACATCATCTCAACCAGTATTTTATAAGTAATTCATGTTAGTTATAACTGTATCGCAACAACATAGATGACTTTTTGAGATGGTAAGGTCTTGGCTGCCCTTCGATTTTAAAGTTCAACTTCGTTCACTTGCTTGGCTAGTAAATCACTGTGACAAGAGAAGATCAAACATAAAGCAAAGGTAAGATTACCTCCAAGAATTCCAGTATTCGCCGGAACTATAGGTTCAGCAGCGTTCTGCTCAGTAGTTGGGCCAATGTTTTCAACATCAGTTGTCTGTTTGTCGCTCTCTTCCGTAACTGAGATTTGCTGTAGCACTGCTGTCTGTGGGGAGGCTATGTCCTCCTGCACATCCTTTTCTTCCTCGGGAGTTACCAGGACTCCTTCATCATCTGACCAATGGGAGAAAAAAAAAAAACTTTACCACAAACGATGGCAAATCACTTGTGCTTCTACATGTTTATGCTCCCTCACTGGTTTCCTACCAGTGAAGTAACTATTGTGTAACTAAAAACGTCCAGAAGCTCGGCAACCCACAGCAGAAAGCTAAAGGAAAAAGAAATTATCACTGAAATTTAAAAAAAGTGAGACTCACCCTCAGAGACTATGTTGTTGGTGCCTGGTGTTTCATCATCAGTTCCAGCTATGTGTCCATCTACTTGGTCATCCTTTCTGTCACCCAGGGTCGGTGAAGTGGTTGTTTCTGGTGTTTTATTCTCCCCCGTGTGGTGCTCTCCTGATAAAATTAGAACAGTTTAACCACAACAGCTCAAGCATCAGTGTCTCTGCAGATACACTTTAAGGTGGAAATAAAAAAGGTCCGGTGCAGTGAGAGTTGTCTTATCTACTATAGGTGCTTCTCAATTCCCTTATTTGACGTTTCCTCGCTCCTCACTCGAACCGGAAGTTGTTCCACTCCACCATCTTGCAGAGATTGCTCTAATTTGTGCTCTGAGGAGCAAGGATCGAGGACCAATCACTGAGGAGCCATGACCGAGGATACACAAGTGCATCCTTCGCAGAAGTCTTTGACTGATCAACACGTCCCTTTATTCGGTAGTTGTTTTGATTGTAGCTGTATTGATTGGATGCTGCAGCTGATCAGACATACCTGCTACATCACAACATCACCGAAGTATCATACCCAGTGAAGACAGACAACAGATTAAACGTGTATCACTGCTATCAAGTTTTACATTTGATTTTATGATTTACTGTCAAGTTATAATCTGTTCACTGTAGGAGTGAACAACAAAAGCCCCACACACAACTTTCTTCATTCATTAAAACAGATTTCACTTTCCGGTTATAACTTTTATTATGGAGACAATTAACGTCGGTCAGAGTCAGAGTGTGTGTCAGGAAACACTTTTTACATCATATATTATCATTTTCATTCAGTCACATGTGAGGCTGATCATTCCTGAGTGTTTAGTCCAAATAGACTACAATAAAACGTAGTAAACGATTTAACAAGTCACTAAACTGCACTAAAGAAAAGAAAGCATGCACATACAGCCGATCTCACCAACTGCATCTGATGAAAGCAGCCGGCGGCTCAGTGAGAAAAATCTGCTGATGAAATATATGAATGCGCATTTCTGTCACCCAGGGTCAGTAAAATGGTTGCTTGAGGTGCTTTATTCTCCCCCGTGTGGTGCTCTCCTGATAAAATTAGAACAGATTAACCACAAGAGCTCAAGCATCAGTGTCTCTACAGTTACATTTTAAGGTGGAAATTAAAAATAAATAAAAAAAAAGGTCCAGTACAGTGAAAGTTGCCCTTTCAATCTCACCGTATTAAAAAGGTGCAATGTGTAAGAATTTTACATTTTAAAAAATCTACTAACATTATCAAAAGAATGTGAAGTGGCCCCAGTTCATCCTGTGTTGTACAGTAATACCTCACGAGGCGATAAGGAGTCATGAGAAGACAAAGGTTAGCTCTTGATCCTGCATTAACTGTTCTCCCTAACTTCTCGACCTCTCGTTCCTCCGCTACCTCTACAATGTCTCCTGGCGCCACTTCCTTGTCTCTGGCTGGGCAGACTGGGTGTGAATTCATCATCGTCAGTCTAACAATAACCAAAGAAAACTGTTTCTAGTTACATAGTTTGCTAACTAACTGATGATGTACTATACTGGGCGTACATATAAACATTACTGTAAGTAACAAAGCAGCAAGTAGCAATACACTGCTGCATCATAAAAGTAATGTGGGCTGGCTGTAATAGGATCTGTGATAGGATCTAGAAGTAGAATATCTTGATGACTGCATAGCGCAGGCTCACTGTAAACATGCAGGGGCTGGGGTTGTGTTTGGGGGGAAGGGGAGAGGAGGATAAGGAGGTGAAATGCTGCCCCCTACTTGTTTGGAGCCAGCAATTACACATTTTACCTTTAAAGGATAGGTACAATTTTTTTTAATTAAAATATTCACATGCCCACATCTACATTGAAAGAATTGTCATCGATGTTATTTACTTAAATCACACTTGCTATAGGTCTTTAGCCAGCTGATTGTCCAAGCTCTTGTGTGTGAATACAATGAATAACTACAACCGCAAGCAGTTGTGATAGGGGTCCAAGCCACCCTGTGCCAGCCGCGACCCCTGCCCTGCGGAGGACCCTCGAGCCCACCCCAGTGCCCCGAACATAACGAGGCAGCCGAGGCCGTGATGAATAACATTCCCTGATGTAATGTCAAAATCCTATTCATTGAAATTACATTTTCTTGCATCGTTGACATTGCAGTAAAAGCGCCACCTTTTGGCCAAATCGCATGAAATGCTGCACACGGCGTCGGGGGCACGTGGTGAATAAATGACCAAAATGGAGTTTCATATTAAAGGGACTTGTGATCATGGAAATATAGAATGAGTGCATGTCTGTGGGAGTGTAATTTTATATGTATCAACAGCAGCATCTACTGGCCGAATAAAACCAAATTTCATACAGCCCCTCAGGAACACATGCAACATAAGGAGTTTTTAGCATTTGGCGTAAACAAATGCCCCACATTTGGTATCAATCGGACTTGTGTTTATGGAGATATAAAACGTCTTTGATGTACAATAACAGCACCACCTATGGGCATA